CATGGGCCAGGCCAGCCAAAACTGGGAGTGGATTTCAGCATGAAAATCCTATTGGGAGTGGGACCAGCAATTAGCATAATGGCTATGTCACTGGACTCTCATGTAGTCGACCGGGGTTCGAGTCCTGGACCCAGTGGCTTAAAACTCACACCAGGCACGTGTACGTGTGTGTTCAAGATCCCGAGAGGAGAATGGAGGAGAAGGGATTGCAGCGTGGCCATCCCCCCTGGGGGGTGATTTCTCGCTTTCTCTCTGTCTCTGTCTGTCTGGCGAGCGCATGCCCTACAGTGAAAACCTCTCAAAAAAACAAAAAACAAAAACCAAAAATACCTCTTGGGAGTGCCTGTCTCTATGTCTCTCTTTCTCTCAAGGAAGAAATAAATAAACTTAAAAATAATAGAGTCTGCAGCAGAATCTATGAAGTGAGAAGTCCAAAGATAGAAGCTTGTGGAATGCTCATTGTTGAGGGATGAGCAGTGGAGAAGGCCAGTGGGCAGCAGTGCCTCCAGGCCCAAAGTCTGGGAAATCAATAGTGTCAGTCATGAGGGGTAAACCCAGCGAGAAAGAAATCCCTGGAGGTCTTTCCATAAACGCCTCTTTGGAAAAGGAAGCCAGACAGCTTAGAAGCCATGCCAAGTAAAGAGAGGGCCAAATTACTCTCCCTGTATCTTTTTCCCCTCCTTTGGCACTGTTACATTTTAAATTCCCACAGGCCAGGGTAGCCTTGGTCTCCAGGCCTGGCACTGCCGCCCTCTCAGATGCTCAGGAGGGACTCAGCAAGACGGATCCCAGACGTGGCGGTGGGGATGGGAGATCTGGGCTGGGGGTCGGGCTCGGCAGCCGACCTCGGCCCAGGTGGCCTCATAGTCGGGGTACTCGGCTTGATCTTCTCAGTGTAGACAGCGGGCTGGGCCCGGCCGGCTGCGCCCTTGTACCCGCACATGAGCTTCTTGCTCTGCGGGCCTGGCCCCAGAGGACGGCGCCGAGTGGACTCGAATCAGCACGTCGTACTTGAAGACCCGTCAGAGTCGCTGTCCACATCAAGCGTTTGAGTGAGGTCCGGCGGCGCCATGTTCCTCGGAGAGCGCTGGCCCCTGTGTGTTCTAGGCTGTGTCTTTTATTTATTTATTTATTTATTTATTTATTTATTTATTTATTTAATTTTATATTTATTTATTTATTTATTTATTTATTTATTTATTTATTTATTTATTTATTTATTTATTTATTTATTTATTTAATTTTATTTTTATTTTTTATTATCATCATAATCTTCTTTATATTACATTGGATTACATATAACTTTACAGTGTATTACATTGCTTTTTCAAAAGGGAATGCCATGCATGTCAGTCAATACAGAGAGACATTAATCTCCCCACTTCAACATTCAATATCTTTTCTATGTTTTCCCCAATTATTATTATTATTATTATTATTCTAGTTATTTTTTTAAAACAGTCAATCGCTATTTCTCATTTTGCTTGTAAAAAGACTTTACCCATCATCAAATACTTCTCAGACCAATCCAGTTGAGAATACTATACATGTCATCATCAACAGGTAATAAGCCATATCTGTTTCTCACTAACGTCCTGCCTCTCTATTGTTCTCTTGCTATCTTTCTCTATCCTCTTCTCTTCACCTCCCCCATTCCACACTGTCCTACTCTCATTAAGTACCTTCACTGCTTTTATGTCCTCCAATTTTTTGCTCTCTACCATAGAGTGTGGATAGTCAGTATATATTGAGTGGATACTTACAATATCTTTCTTTCATAGCCTGGCTTACTTCACTCAGCAATAGATCCTTAAATGGCATTACTAATGAACAGGAGAGGCTGCTGCTGTAATGGGGCAGGCTTTTGTAAAGTCTGTTTAATTTAATTTTAAAGTTTTAGAGTCTTTAGTGTGTTTGTAGTTTGCTAGAAATCAGCTCTTGGTGAGGTGGAGACAGGGGGAGAGAACCACTGACGAAGAGGGGCCTCTGGCCGCGGGACCAGCCTGAGCAAGGCAGCTGTCAACCAGGTGGAGAAGGACGGCAGGTGGGGGCAGAAATTGATGACTTTAGAGATCTTGGTTTGGGAAGCTGAATGGTGTATGCTTTTTAGCTCCAATTTATTTTTCCTTTATTTCCTTTCTTAAAAAGTTTTTTTTTTTCTTTTCTTTCATGAGAAAGAGAGAAAGACAGGCACTTTTCTCCTTTAAGAGGCTTTATTTATTTTCTTTATTTTTTGCCGTAGGGCATGTGTGCTCTCTGGAGAGAGAGAGACAGAGACAGCAAGAGGGAAAGTGAGAAATCACCCCCTGGGAGGATGCCCACGCCACAATCCTTTCTCCTCCATTCTCCTCCCAGGACACTAATGCAAATGCACTGAGCATGATTTTCAAGCGATTGGGTCTGGGACTTGAACTGCAGTTGTCTATGTGGGAGTGATATAACTGGTATGTCATCTGCTGACCCCCAGGCCCCCTAAATAAGGTCTCATTCTGTAGTCCTCCTCAACTCTTTCCAGTCAGGATTGTGGACACAAGTGTGTGCACCTTGAGTGTACAGGCTGACCTAGGAATTGAACCCTGATTTTCCATATGGCTTACAGCATTGCAGAGCTTTATACTACTACTGCTGTACCACTGTGACTGGGCCTAGCTTCAATTTTCTTGGAGAAGTGGGGGAGAATGATACCCTTGAGAGAGTAGGTGATGGTACTGTGGTGGGCTTAAGAAGAAAGAAGGTCTGAAAGGCTATCCTGAGGACCAGGAGTAGGAGCCAAGCAGAGACACACAAAAGAGGGTAACAGGACTATCAGCTTTGCATTATAGAGCCAGTGTGATTACAGAAGTAGCCTTTGTAAAACTCAATAATGAAGACAACTGTGATGTACCCTAATGAAGTCTTAGGCACGGACACAATAACTAATGACACCAAGAAGAGCTGTCATGTGCCACGTCTACCCTCGCTGCTCAGTCAGTGCTGGTGCACAGTAAGGATGTCCAGGGCATGTGCTCTGCATGGGCACTGGGCCCTTTTCCACTCAACCCTCACAAGCTGCCAAGGGATGAGCATCAGCGGCTGCTGCATTTGGTTTGGTTTCCAATATGGTAGCAAGGTTATGGAAAAAACTCAAGCAAAACCAGAATGTGGACCAGAGGCCCTCCTTCATGCCCCAGTTGTGCACTGCTTAATGACAGTAAAGGGAATTGGTTCAGCAACTGGAAGAGAAGAGAGCCGTGGATGGTTGGAGAAGCCCAAGGTCACTGGTCTAGAAACACTGAGGATGCCTAGATGACCACCTATCTTACCTCAGTTTTATTTGGTGGCCCAAATTCTTGGCCATGTTTTTCTCAAGTGCTGACTCTCAGAGGTTGGAATTTATTTTTTTTCAAATATCCCTGAGTTACTTTGCATCTAAGATTCTAAATGACTGCACTGCTGAACTGTGACCGTCTTGTGACCATTAGGATCTAAGGGGCATAGAGTTAATGAGTGATCAGATTTCCCTTTCTATCTTGGCATCAGTTAGATATTGAATGTTGGGGTTCCCCACATTCATATGTTTAATCCCCAATCTCAAACAGGATGGTATTAGGAGGTAGGGGCTTTGGAAGGTAATTAAAGCTAGATGAGGTAGTGAAGGTAGGACCCCCACGATGGAATTAGTGTTCTTATAAGAAGATCTCTCTCTCTCTCTCTCTCAGACTCTATGCACCCTGAGGAAAGGCCATATGAGGACACAGCAAGAAGCTGGCTGCAACCTAAGAAGAAAGCCCTCCCCAAAAGGATGAAGTACCTGGTACCTTGATCTTTAATTTACAGCTTCCAAGACTGTGAGAAATAACTGTGTTGTTTGAGCTACTCAGGCTGTGGTATTTTGTTTGATAGCCTAAGCTGACTAAGTCAGTGTTGTAATATAAAATCACACACACACACACACACACACACACACACACACATACACACAAGAGTATGGTCACATAAATTTTTACCCAACTAAACTTTCTGATAGTGAGGCTCCTCCTCAGTGTTTAGTGGCACAGGGAGTTCTGGGTGTTGGGTGCATCCTAGATGGTAGGGCCTAGCCTGTTCAGTGGCCCTCCATTCCTTCAGGTGTGCTTAGGTATTGGGCTCTTGATCATGGCCTAAGTAAGATGAAATTTCAGAAGGAAACAGGTAGGAAGCATGCTCCCAGGCACTTTAACTCACCTTGTTACTTATGACCCCTCAGAACCCTCCGATTTACATGTGGTCTCTTCTCATTGGAGCATCACAAGTAAATCTGAATTCATTTAGACAATTTTATGGGTTTTGTGAAACCACAATGGAATCTCAGGCCTTTGTTGTAGTCCAGCCAAGATACACTCCAATTAGAAATAACTGCTGTTGGGACCAGCAGTTAGTGTAATGGCTATGTCGCTGGACTCCCATGTAGTCGACCGCAGTTCGAGTCCCAGACCCGGTGGCTTAAACTCACTCTGGGCGCGTGTGCATGCGTGCCCAAGATCCAGAGAGGAGAATGGAGGAGAAGGGATTGTGGCGTCACCATCCCCCCTGGGGGGTGATTTCTCACTTTCTGTCTCTCTGTCTCTCTCTCTCTGTCTGTCTGGCGAGCACACGCGCCCTATAGCAAAAACTTCTCCAGAAAAAGAAAAAAAAAAAGAAAACTGCTGTTAATGCTGTTAAAATGTGGTGGGTTCCCACTGTGCCTCCCAGACCTATGTTCTGCTAAATCCCCCAGGAGTCTCTTCTTTCTTCTTCCACTAAAGAGGTGGGCCCCCAGAATACACACTTTTGGAACTGTAATATCCAAACAATATTATGCTCTTTCTTAATTAACCTTGATAGCCACAGATTTGGAACATCGGCTGCTTCGTCTAAGAGGGCCTTTTGATCCTTTCGTTGTAAATTTACAGTGAGAGGATGTTACTCTGAAATAAAATGCCTTTTATTCTTTGGAACATACCAATTTTTTTTTTAATTCTTTGAGTAATGATGTGGTATCCTTGTTTAAGAAAACATTTATAAAGTACTTAGCTTGGTATCAGGCACAAATATGTAGTTACCATTGTTACTATCATAAAAATGGCTTTATTATTTTTCAAAAAGCCTTTCTGAATGGAAAGGAAATACAGGAACCGAATTGTCCGGGTTGTGCTGGCCACTCCACATAAATCAGCTCACCCTGATTCCAGGCACTGTGCTCCCTGACGCTCCTTGACAGCCTCCTGGCCCTCTAAGAGCATCTGACCCTCAAGATACTCAGGCTTCGGATGCTAAGGGATCATCCAAAGCACCTGTCATTCTGTCCTGCTTCCCACAGAGGGCCGAGACAAAGGGTGCTGTTTCTCTCACAGCGCAGGTACACCCTCCCCCCTCAGCCTGAGAAGGCCATCCACAGATATGGTAATTAACATACTGTTTTTTACTCTTGCTTTCATAGTTAATCTTCAAAGCATGAGAGCAGTTCGCTAGTAGATTGCACAGTAAGAATACAATAGATCTGAAGTGAGGCCAGCCTGATGAATACAAATACACTCAATGGCCCATTCTGTGGAAAATACCTGGACGTGAATCCCAACTTAAACTACCAAGTTAAACACTTACTATGAATGTCTTTTGGATCAACAGGTAGCAGTAAATCTCTAATTTTCAGAGAAAAGCCATTCTTTGGTTTCTTCTAGGAAAAAACATGTGAACCTACTTAAAAGAATCACTGTCTAGACGGCTGGACACAGTGGCGGTGGCTGCTGGACGGTTAGCCAGACTGGTGCTTGGTCTGAGCCTACAGGGCATTTAGAAGTAAGTGTCTGTGTAGCTTCTTCAAAGAGAAGGGCATGGGATTCTAGCCTTTTCTACCTTGGAAGGAGCAGGTTCAAAAGGCCAGTGCTGAGAAGTCCAGAGCACTGTATCCTCTGGAACACATTTGGCCGGACATGAATCGTACTCTTCTGTCCTCGCTGCGGGCTCAGGGCAACTCACAAGAGAGGCTTCCCTTTCTCTCTCTCCTCTATCACATCTGCTGCAAATAGAAATGACAAAAATAAGCTGCCTTTATTTTTGAAGGAAAAACAAAATAAGGCAAAAACAGAACCAAAACGCAACAGGAAGAAGACAGCAACATTGTTTTCAAAGGCATCAAACTGCAAATTCTAGTCCGATAGCAGGGTAAGAATGGTACTTCCGGTCTCCAGACATCTCTTGTCAAACAAAAGTACATTTCTCCATTGAAATAAGCATAATGTCATGTAGGGGATCAGATGCCATCTGCAATAGAGTTGGTTTTTAGTTTTTCTTCTTTTGGCCAGTGAAGCCACTCATTGCTTTAGTGATGCCCAAATAGTTTGATATAAGCAGTGCTGGCCTGATTGGCATGATACTAAAGAAAACACAAGAATAAACGTTATTAGTGATTATTCATGAAAGCATCTTTACCAGCTCGGCTGGAAACCAGTGTCACTTCTTGTCTCAGAGGAGTCACTTATTCATGGATGCACACATCATGCAGCTCAGTGCTACCTCCTCAGGGTCACTGGCCTTGTCCAGGTCTCTAGAGCTCTCCTGGCTTTAGTTACATTATGCAGCTCATTTTGCATTTTCCCAGTTTCTGAAGCATCACTGCACCATCTGACGGCTGAGAATATGCAGTGGAGTAGGGAGATGAGCCAGGCTGAAACCCTAGCTCTGCCATGTGCAATGCCAGCCTAAGCAATGCTGCCCACAGGTCTGTTTCTCATGTGTGAAATGAGGTTTCTTCCGGGGACTGATGTGAAGATGAGATGTGGTAACTGGAGGAGTCCGACCCAGCGAGGGCCCCAGGATCTGTCTGAGCCCCCCGACCTTTGAGCTCCACTTCCGGTTGGATCAACATGTTGGCAAGGCCACTGTTGTGCGCCCCCCTGACCTTGGAACAAAACTTGGGTCAATTAGCATGTCAGCAAGGCTGTTTGCTATTTGCTCCAGAAACTGTGGCAGCCTTACTGGGAAGTGACCCCTCTCTGACTCCCCAATATACTACTGTAAAAGAATTACATAGCTCTCTTATACATCCTGAGTATACGATAAAATCTTCCAGGAAGTCCCCTGACCGCTCCCCTTTGCTCTGATCACTTACTATTAATTACAATGCTTTATCTCCATGGTCACAATAGAGGGTGGGCTGAAGTTCTTTCTAGGCAGAAATAATCTTGACCTTTGGAAGGCCCTTCAAAATACATTTAAGGTAAACTTAATCCTTTCTTCGTAAAATAAGATTAGGCCAAAACTGGCCCAGGACACCTCCGCCCTCTCCAAGTGAAATAGATAAATATATTAGGATTCCTCAAATTAAGTTTTAGATCCCTACAAAACTGTATAAGTATCATTCTTTATTAAGATCCATAAGAACTAATATCTATTCTTGAGATTTTCTTTTCTCAGCACCATTCCCAGTAATCACAAGATGGCTGCTGCACCGCATCAGCTGATAATCATCTCTGCTTACCGGAACCGCTTTCCCGAAACTGCATTCCATGGAGACCCACCTACAATTGCGGAACTACACTAGACCCACCCTCAATCCAACCCTGAATAGAATCTATGTTCCCTATTCTTAAAACTTTATGAGCTGATAATTGAAACACGTAGTCCCTCTCCCTTTACTTGCATGTAACACGTTTTCAATAAAAACGCACGATGATTCCTAGCAGTTGTCATTCCTCAGAGAGCGATCTCTGAGGGGTGTCTGGCAAAGGACGTGCATGAAAAGGCATCGAGGCCTCTGTCTTCTGTTCACCTTCGCCGCCTCCATCAAGATAACCCACCCATGCCGAGGCTGGACCCTGGCAGGTAACTCCTCAGATGTTTCACAAGACCAAGCTAAGACTTCATTTTCTCCATCCCCACCTGCTTAGCATGCCATATATATACATGCTTCTCATTCCACAGAGTATTCTGACCACCCCCACCCCAAATCTCGACACTCACCGCTTCAGAGCGAGGAAAGGCATAAAGCCAGCACAGTAAACCTGAGACGGATCTTAAGGGTGGGTAAAGCAGAGGGCCCTGCACTCGTCTCTGCCTGGGCAAGACAAGATCTGGACTCCAGTCAAGTGTTACCTTCTTGGTGAAAACTCCCCATTCCAAGAAACACTTTGTCATAAGGTGTGTGCACTTGCCACAGAAAGACAGAGAAAGAGAGAGAAGAAAACTGAGAAATCAACCTTCCTCCCCAGGAGAACGGCCATGCTGCAGTCCCTTCTCCTCTGTTCTCTTCTCGGGATTTTGGGCATCCACATGTGTGTGCTGGGCATGATTTTCAAGCCAGCAAGCACACACAGCACTCTCCCAATTTGTTGAGTAACTGTCTAAAGGGATGTTTCATGTGATCCCCTTCACAGGGCCTCTTCATGTTTTCCTGCCTTCTCAGAAAATATCTGTCTCAGAATGTGGCCCAGAACCAATGTGTGAGAAAAGTATCTCTTTCACAATCATTCAGAGTAGAAAAATCAAGTCTCGAGGGCCAGCAGGTGTGTGATGGTTAAGGTGCTGGACTCACACATGGCCAACCATGGTATGCGTTCTGGACCTATGGCTTGAAAATAACACTCGGGTGTGTGTGTGTGCATGCCCAAAATTATTATTTTTTTTGAGAGTTTTTTTTTGCTATAGGGCACGTGCGCTCGCCAGACAGACAGAGAGAGACATAGAGATAGAAAGCAAGAAATCACCCCCGGGGGGATGGCCACTCCGCAATCCCTTCTCCTCCATTTTCCTCTCGGGATCTTGGGCACGCACACACACGCACCCGGCGTGAGTTTTAAGCCACCGGGTCCGGGACACGAACTGCGGTTGACTACGTGGGAGTCCAGTGACACAGCCATTACACTAACTGCTGGTCCCAACATGCCCAAAATTTGGAGGGGAGGAGAAAGGATTGTAGTGTGGTCTTCTCCCCTGAGGGGTGATTTCTCACTTTCCCTCCTCTTTTGTTGTTTCTCTCCAGTGATTGCACACACCCTATGGCAAAAATCTAAAAGAAAAAGAAAAAGAAAAAGAAAAAGAAAAATCAAAATCAAAATCAAGTCTCATGTTCTTACAGTTGGCATTATACTACTGAGTCATTGAGAAAGTCATGATGCAATTTTGCATAGAAAAAACACATCATGACTTTTCTGATGACTTAATACATTATAATCTACTATCGATTGGCAGTGTGAGGACACACACTGCCCAATAAACAGTGCCTTACACTAATCTACAGACTCTCACAAAGATGGTCTCTGTGTCATAAATGAGGAAACTGAGGCCTGGGGATAAAAGAGCATGCTTAGAGATCAGAGTCCCCAAATTCACCTTATTTATCAAAACGTTTTGCTCTGCTTCATGCACCCTCAGTTGGCCATACGGATCCCTCCCATGCTAGCTAAAGCCAGGAAGGGTGATAGGACACAGGAATGACTCTGCCGACTGCATGAAGTAGACATAATGAGCTAAGGAGAACAGAAATTCCCCTATGCAGGAAGGCCACGGCTAGCAGCCACATAATGGGCATGAGGAATGAGAGCCATGTTTAAGTGACTGGGGAACTTTGTCACAAGGAGCAGACTGACATGTAGGGCTGGCGGACAAAGGTAGAACCAAGAGACGTGAAATGAGACGGTACAGATCAGCAGAGGGGAGTGGCACAGCAAGAACTGAGCTTGCCTGCAAAGCAGAGACGCCTCCGAGGGGGAAGTATGGCTGGATGACCTGCCACCACCTAGAAACTGGATTGATGTCATGGGAATCAACTGCCGCTCCAGCTATTTGGCCCTGACATCTTTGTAACTGGGTCAAAGGCCCACAAGTGGCAGCTGATGAATTTTATTATCAAAAGCCACTGGTGAACAGAGAAGAATGGGTAGGGGTGCTTCCCTGTGTTTTTGATGATTTATTTATTATTATTTTTTTAGTTTTTTTTTGCCATAGGATGTGTGCCCTCATGAGAGACAGAAAGAGGGAAAGTGAGAAATCACCCCTCTGGGGGATGGGCATGCTGTAATCCTTTCCCTTTCATTCTCCTCTTGGGATTTTGGGCATCATGCACACGTGCCTGCCTGGGTCTGGGGCTTGAACCATCGCTACCCATGTGAGATCCAGTGCCTGAACCACCATGCCACCTGTTGTCCCCAACTTTCTTCTGTTTTTAAGAGGTGCGTTTTAAAAAGATATTTGTACCTCTGAAGTCCTTTGTAACCATCACATAGCTCAGGTTGATTACTATCACCTGCTCTACCCACCATCACTTTGTGAAGCACTAGGCTACTGTCTGGCTTTGCCTTTGGAACCCTGTACTTGAGGAAGCCTGGGCATGGTATCTATTCCAGCAAAACTACATCATGAAGAACATAAGAAAAAGCATTTATTCTAAAAAAAATATAATTCATTCTGTCTGTACACTACCCAGTAAACCAGCTTCTATTCGACAATGCAATACTAGCTTGGTGAGAAGGGCCTGATCTTATTTTCTTGATTCGGGGAATATTACAACTATGCAAATTCGAGTCTACGTAAGGCGATAGGACATGACAAGGCGACAGTGATAGGACCTACCAGACTTACTTGATTTTCTTTTTTAAAATCCATACATGGGACCAGCAGATGGCATAATGGTTATGTTGCTAGACTCCCATGAAGTCAAATGTAGTTCAAGTCCTGGACCTGGTAGCTTAAAACTCATGCCAGGTGTGTGTGTCTAGAGGAGAATGGAAGAGAAGGGACTGCAGCATGGCCATCTCCCTGGGGGTGGGAGGGGATTTCTTGCTTTCTGTCTCTCTGTCTCTCTTCTGTCTCTCTGGTGAACACACGTGCCCTATAGCCAAAATCTGTTTTTTAAAAAAAGTTTATAGGCTTACCAGACCTTTTTTTTTTTGAGATATTTTTTGTTACAGGGCTATGTTTACCAGAGAGACAGAGAGACAGGAAATAAGAACTCACTCTCCAGAAGGGATGGCCACACTGCAATCCCTTCTCTTTCATTCTCCTCTTGGGATTTTGGGCATGCATGCACATATGCCTGGCATGAGTTTCAGGCCACTGGGTCCAGATCTTGAACTGTGGTCAGCCACATGGAAGTCTAACACTTTAAGCACCATACCAACTGCCAGCCCCTTACCAGATATTTTTTAAGTGGTTCCTGATGGGATTTGGAATAAACTCTTGGTTTGCGCATCAGGGAAGTAGTAGAAGCTGATAGTGTTACCTTTTCAAGAACATCGCGAAGTAGAGGAACTTGGGCACGTACAAGTACAGTCTTTCCTGCAGGACGGCATCTACTATTTTCCTGACTACATACTCTGGTTCCAGAATGGGCAACAGCAAAGAGCTGCCAGAAAAAAGAAATCCAAGTGAACAAATTAATAAAAATAGCTCAAATTAGGTATGACAAGTTTGTAAGACATTATCATTTCTTTTTCTTCCAGACGTCGTCTCTTTCTATGACTCTCTAATTAACGTGTGAAGAATAACCTAACTAAAGTCTGTGAGGGAAAATGATAATTCTTTATTTTTTTCAAAGAATTATTTTATTGAACTTTATTTATTTATTTATTTATTTAAATTTGACCAGAGAGGGACAGAGCAAGAGAGGAAGAGAGAGAGAGAGAGAGAGAGAGAGAGAGAAAGAGAGAGAGAGAGAGAGGCTACCTGCCAACCTTGAAAAATGATAATTGTAATGAATACACTGATGTTACCATATACATATATTTGAGTTCTATTAAACAAATGTTCTGCATGTTGTAAAGCAAGTTGCTGAAAACCAGCTGCCTGCCGTCTTCATGACACGCAGAGCTGGGCAACCATGCCTGCTGTGAACCGCGTGTTCGCGTCCCTCCAAGGCCACACACTGAAGTCTAAGCCTGCAGTGTGATGGTATTAGCGGCGGGGTCTCTGGGAGGTGGCCAGTCGTGAGGGTGGAGGTCTGAGGACAGGGATTGGTGCCCTTATGAGAAGAGCAGTGAGACCGCTCGCTCTCTCTCCTGTCCCCACTTGCTCCCTGCTGCGAAGTGAGGGTATAACCATGAAAAGGCAAACTGGGAAGCGTGCCCGCCAGACGTGGGGTCTGTGTGCAGCACTTTCACCTGGGACTCCTAGCCTCTGGAATGTGGAAAAAGAAATGTGGGCTGTTTAAGATGCTTTGAATCTGGTATTCTGTCATAGCTGCTGTGCTAAGAAGTGCCCCTTCAGTGACTTCTAGTCCTCCTGGAGTCAGGAAGAGGGCAAAATGGGGTTGGGTGCCAGAAAAAGCACAAGTGGGAGAGCCTGCGAGGTGGCAGAGAAATCTGGGATTGCAGGCTGGTTACTTGCTGGACACTGCCTTGATAAACCATGGCATTCAGCTCCGTGTGCTAAACACACACATCTACTAAGAAGGACAGGACTCTGAAATCATTGATAAATCAAGCTGGGGCTTAGAAAAGTATCTTAGATGATTTTAAAACACAGAACAAAACAAACAGCTATTTTTAATGTGGTTTATCTGAAATCCAAATACGTACCTGCTCTTACAACCTTCAAACATTCCGGTTCTTATAAAAAATGGGCACACAATTGTAGTTTTGATCCCCTTTTTGTTTTGGGCATACATTTCTACAAACATAGCTTCGGCAAATCCATAGGCTGCAAATTTACTTGCACAATAATCTAAAAAAGACCAACAATGATAACGTATGTTCTGAAGTCTGAAAGTGTTGTTATGTTGTTCAGGACACTAATTACAACCGAGAAGCCATGACAGTTTCAGGGCTCTGCTCTCTGCGATCTCGGCCCCTCCCACAGGAAGTGAGCAGTGACTGGGAAGGACCCTGGTGGGCTGGACTCTGGGAGAGAGCGGCTGTGGGGGTCCCACCATGGGTCACGCTAGCTAGCTTTACTTAGGAGTTCATGCATCCTCAGACCCCATTACATGGGCACAAGACAGTCGCTGTCTCAAAAACCTTCGACCCCAATGGGTTATGAAGACATACAAAAGAAGAACAAAAGTTGTGTGGATGTAGGGATCTGCTTAAAAGAAGTCTGCACGGTCATGAAACTCGTAAGTCTTTTTTCCAACTGTAACTATTTTTTCCACTTTCAGAGAAAAACAAAGGACTGCTGCTAGCTTCCACCTTCTTTTCTTGTTATATATTGAGAATGTAAGGGAGAATGGCAAGTGGAGTTTACGTCCACTTTGAGCTTTCTGTCTTCAATCACTCTGACTTTTAGAAAAGATCTGAATAGTTCATTCACTGAGTGAGAATGTTTGGAGAAGAGGTAGTTAGGTGAGGAAGTACCATCCTGTGCCTTCCTGGACACAGAGAGAGGCATCCCTCCCTGCTCTTTGCCATGCAGCTACTACCACCAGCAAAGTCAGGTTACAAGTGCCAGCCCTGGTGGTGTGCTGCCCACAGAGTACACCAATGTCCTCAGCAGGGTGGCTGTGGGCAAGAGGCCAGAAGGAGGGAAAGGAAAAAGAAGCTTCCAGAGTCATTTGAATAAATGCAGCTCACTGAGTGCCTCTACCCACAAGAGTCTGACGAGTCCATATGACTCAAGACCTAGACAATCTGTACCTGAAACTAACACCCAAGCTGGTTCTGCTGCAGGGCAATGTGGAAATACTTAAGGTGAGCTGGTGAGAGAGTTTTGCATCTGAAGATAGAAATGCTGTGTCAGGAAAGGGGTTGATTAGAGCAATAAATATGCTTGTGTGATTTCAAGGGCTTGTGACTTATCAGATATCTAAGAGAGAGGTCAAAATAACACCCAAGGCATTCTAAGAAGGATAGAGGAAGGAAGGTCCAGATTCAGGGAGTACAGGCTGGTAATAGTTTGGGTAACTGGGTGATTCTGAAAAATCTATTCCTGTATCTGAGACATATTAAGCAAAGACTAGTTTTTGTAAATCTTGAACGGTGCTGCTTAGCTTGAAAGCATTAGGAGATGCCTAATGGGCTGACTGTCCCTTCTGTCATTGGAGTGTGGCTGCTGCTGTTTGGTAGGTTGAGTCCCAACGATCTTCGTAAGCTGGGATCCAGGCCATTTGTTTGAGGGTATGCCCTAGCAGGTAAGGTCAGGACTTGTGCTCCTCCTGGAGCTAGCTCCCAAGCTCAGCCCCCTTGCTTCCCAGCACCATTGAGAAGTCAGTTGGCTGTTGCTAGAAATGTGAAAATGGTTACCACTTCTTGCAGGGCTTCAAGCAACGGAAAGGCACGGAGGTTAATTTTAGATTTATTGGAAAACTTGCTTCAAACTTATAGCAGATCACTTAATGGAAACTTCAGAAGGTGGGGCAGTTCTCCTTACCACACTAATCCCTTTAAGAGGTGAATTTGGGGGGACAGTGTTGTCTTGATCACTTCTGCAAAAAATATTAGTGAGGTCTCTCTCTGTCTTTTAAACCCAGGGGATTGCATAAGACCTAAGGATTCCCAAGGACAGAGTCCAACTTCATTTAAGTGTATCTAGTGTATCTGATAGAAAGCTTGTTGCACAATACAATCCTCAAGCAAGTGTCTCATGAACCATACTTCTCAGTTTATTACTTTATTATTAGTGCATTGAGCTGATTATTTAGAACTCTTGCCTAAGTTAAAGTGGTAAGAAATTTCGCAATTGTGAAATAGTGCATTCTCTTACCTGCCAGCCCATTGACTCCAATTAATCCAGCTGAACTTGAAATACAGACCAAATGTCCATGGTCATTAGCAACCATGGCAGGTAGAAAGGCTTTATAAGTCTATGAAGAGCAAAGGGAAACATATAATGTTTAATACCTGTACTTTTCTCAGCTATTTACATGATCATTGCAATTAAAGCATTGTGGTGTTTTTTTTGTTGTTGTTGTTTGTTTGTTTGGCTCATAAAGATACCTGAAAGCATTGGGATAGAACTTAACCATCTTGAAAGTAATCATTTTAACCTGCTAAATCAAATTTCCTGTGTAATTCCCATATTACTAAAAATGATTTATTCAGTTTCATAGTTTTGCTCGTATTTGACTTTCAGTAACATCATATTATGACAATAATGAAGTAGAATGGGAAAATCTTAGCTGCGGCAGTGGTAATCCAAAAACTACAAAGACTCCTTGAGGATGTGATTATTTAGGTTTAAACTGCCTCTCCCCCCACCTTATTTTGACATTT